ACAGGAGAATGACCTCCCACCCATAGTTTTGAGTATTGCAAAATTTGGAGGGAAGAAAATGTTTAGAGGGTAGGAAGAATGCCTTAATTACGTCATATACAATACCATTGATTACCATTTCTATATTGGAAAGTATTATGAGTAGTGTAGTTTATCAGGAACATATGAAATATGCATTAAGCACATTTGTTTATTATATATTTGTAATTTTATAATTAAACCTTTTTTATGGCTATATATATATACATACATACACACACACACACACACACACACACCTACAATATTTGTTATGTAGTTTAGAATCAGTAATGGACTACAATTTGTAAGTAATCTACCCAGCTAATATTTACTTCCTGAACCCATGTGTTGCACTCCGTTGACACATACTTGTCTAAACAGACCAACATGTTTACATTCTCGCTTTTGTTTTTCAGGAAAGTTGTGGTATGTCGGTATGTAACGGAAAGATCTATATCCTGGGTGGCCGTGGTGAAAATGGAGAGGCATCAGATACAATCCTGTGCTATGACCCGTCCACCGGCATCATAACGGGCGTGGCCGCCATGCCCCGCCCTATTTCTTACCACGGCTGCGTCACCATCCACCGCTACAATGAGAAGTTCTACCATTCATGACATTAAAAAAAAGCACACTCACTGACTCACACAGGGACGTGGATAAACTGAGCCGGACTATAGATAACGTAGCATTATGTTAGGTAAGGTGAGTCCCCGTGGTGAAAACGGAGAGGCATCAGATACAATCCTGTGCTATGACCCGTCCACCGGCATCATAACGGGTGTGGCCGCCATGCCCCGCCCTATTTCTTACCACGGCTGCGTCACCATCCACCGCTACAATGAGAAGTTCTACCATTCATGACATTAAAAAAAAGCACACTCACTGACTCACACAGGGACGTGGATAAACTGAGCCGGACTATAGATAACGTAGCATTATGTTAGGTAAGGTGAGTCCAGTTCACAAGCTTTGAGACCAGTCAGTTAAACTGACAACTACATAATAACTCATTTCAGTGTACAGTATAAACATTCTATCATTTACTCATCCTCACGTCGTTCCAAACCCATATGACCTTTCTTCTAAAGAAAACAAAAGAAGATATTTTAGACAAAATCAAATTAGACCCCAACTTCATTGTAACATTTTTTTTCTTATATCTTCTTCCGGCCTTTATAGTCCGATACAGATTGTGTATGGATTTGCATATTTCCATATCCGTTACCCAAATACTTCTAAACTGATTGACAGCTGATTGTGAATTCTAGCTGGTCTCTGATCTCTCAACCTCACTTGTTGTTCCCGTCAATTAAACGTCTTTATTTGTTTCTTTTCCCCACTTCATTACTATTATTGCATTTTATATTGTATTTTAATGTCTGGTGTAAGTTGTTTTGAGTGGGTTAACGGCGTGATTATTTGTGTCTGGTGGATAGAGTGTTCGATTGTGATAAATCCATGTGTATATAAGTGTGTTTGAAAAGATTCAGCTGGATGTGTGTGCGTGACAGACGGACACAGAATATGCAGGAACTACTTCTTGTTGAGCTCCCATGTCTAATGGGTAAATGGTTCACAACAATCCATCAGGCACCGAAAATTATTGTATTTCTTTTAATATTTCTTTACGTATGCATGTATGTATTTGGGTGATATTAACTGTTTTCTGTATTTTGTAGTAGAAATTGTGGCTATCATGACATTTAAAGAAAAAAACGTGTGTTTTATTATGTGTTTGCTCTTTTATAGTAATGCCATCCATATGAAGCATTACTGTTGATTAGCCTCTGTATAATTATTCTGTATCATTTAGTAACATGCTTTCTTGCATATCATGTAGAATACAAGCAAAGATGTCTTGTTTATAAGTGAATCAAATAATGTTCTTTCACTTTAAGTTATTTATTCTTTATGGATGTTTGAATGCCCCAACCAGGCACTTAAGTCAATATATCGCAGTGTCCCCGATGTAAATATGAATTTGATAATCCTTCTTCAGGTTTACTGTATCAGTAAGTGTTTGCAGTGGTGAAGCATCAGGCCAAATGGCCAGTTCACACTCTCAGCTCCCATAAAACTCTTCCTTTTTTGTTCTCACAATAATCTAAGCTTAGTATTTGTGTGTACACTGCAGTGACGTAGCAGCAAAAGATTGTGTGTTTGTGCTCTGGGGAGCAGTGATGTCAGCTCTGTTGCCTGCTTTTGGTGAGCAGGATTGTTTAGTTTTGTCAGCTGCAAGACCAGAACAATAGAGGACACACATTGTTCGTTTTACTCTGGGAATTGTACAATGCAACTGCAAGACCCTGCACATATATGCACATAACGCAGCATGGCCTTTCTATAACCTTTTTGAGTGTAGTTTTTTTTGGTGTGTAGTTTTATGACCGTGTGTTTGTGTAAATAAATGGTGTGAGTTTGGTGTCTTTTTGTTATATAGGCTTGTTTTTTTCTGATAACTTTCAGTTGCTAAAAGCCATAAACGGAATGTTTTTTTTTTTGTTTAATTTTACAATGTTTCTTTTTGAGCGAGTCCTTATACACTTTATCTGTGCATGGCAAAAACTATATAACTCGTATGGCAAGAAAAATAAATGATTGTTATGGAGAAGATGCGCCTTTAGCGCTAATTAGTGATGGCAGAGAAAAGTGCCAATTTAAGAAAATATTACTTAAGTGCATTAAAAGAAATGACTATTTTGTGCCTTGTGGTGGAATGATACACATTTGACAACTAGCCAAAGATGTGTGATTGTTTTTTTCTGTTAATTCCAGTACAATATTGTAAAAGAAACTGCCAACCTTTTATGTCATAATATTACATGTGTTAAACTGTCGCTAAAATGTTCTTGTTCTGAGTACCTGAAATGTACAAGAGCTTAATGTGGTGTACATGCATACATTTCTTCAATAAAGCTATTTTTAGTATGGATTTGTACACTATTGTTATTTGTTTTATTTCTTGAATCTCAAATTTCTATGAAACCACCAATCCTACACTGAAAAATGATGTGGGATTTTTTTTTAAGCAGTATAAGTATTAAACTCATCCTGGACTGATGCAAACATGTATAATACCTCAGACTGTGAGACGTGCTATTATGTTTCTAACTGATCAGATTTAGTGAAAGTGACGTGACGTGACGTGTAGCCAAGTATGGTGTCCCATACTCGGAATTTGTGCTCTGCATTTAACCCGTCCAAGTGCAAACATACCCAGAGCAGTGTGCAGCCATCTGCATTTCACCCATCCAAGCGCACACAAACAGCAGTGAGTAGTGAACAAACACACACCCGGAGCAGTGAGCAGCCATTTTTGCTGCGGCGCCCAGGGAGCAGTTGGGGGTTTGGTGCCTTGCTCAAGGGTCTCACCTCAATCATGGTATTGAGAGTGGAAGAGAGCGCTGGTCATTCACTCCCCCCACCTACAATCCTTGGCGGTATCGAGACTGAAATCCGTGACCTTTGGATTACAAGTCTGACTCTCTAACCATTAGGCCACGACTTGCCGTTTTCATCTGAAAGATGATTCCAATCCCATACACTTATCCTAAACAAAGGAACCTGAGACATAAAAGACCACAATATCTTTCCGGTATTAAACACTTTAGCAATCTCATAGCAACCCTGGCATCACTGTGGTAAGTTTTTCATAGGTAAACAACACTACTCACATTTTCTTGGTAACACAAAAGTTTTAGATTAAATCTAAGTAGTAAGTACTGTTAAGTTATCAGGTCATGTATTTCTGCTGTAGCATTGCTAAAAACACCCGATCCCTGGTTTCCTACCAGTGTACTGAGGCATTAATTTGTGTACCAAGTTATTTTGAATAAAACCCGTCAGCTAACTGACAAAAACGCCACACCAGTCAAAGAGAAGACAAAGTATTAAATTACAGAACCACCTGCAGATAAATGCTCACAGCTAACCACATGGAACTCCTGTACCTGTCACTGTACACAGAACCCCACCAAGGGAGGAACTGTAAACTGTCGCTGCTGGCAACATAGGAACATTTATCAACTGGACATATTGATGTTGAAAATGATACATGTGCCTATGGAATTTGGCTCTTGCTTAAAGCTATGACTTTTTTCTCGTGAATGTTTCACTGGAAAAACAAAAAGAATTTTCAGAATTCTGACATGCAGTGTCAGTATTTGCTTTTAGATTAAAAAACGAGTGGCGTTTGAGAAGATCTCAGTGTTTAAAGATGCACAAAGAACCTATTTAAATTTAGAACCAACTAAAACCACTTGTACACAGACCTCCTGATGGCTTTCGAAATAGGTAATTTTAATCCGGTTTATTTAAAAAAATGTATGTAAACGTAAGCTACTACAAAATTATTTCTAAACAAAAGTTAATAAAATAAAAATGACATGGCAAAATGCAGCCAGGCGTACGCAAATGAGATATACAAAACACAATCGTGTGTAGTCTGCATAAAAATATTTTTAACTAGTTTTGAGAATAGTATACATTACTGGTAAATCTTTCTGTGCATGCGCTCAGGCAAAACTACGCGAACTTGAGAGAAAGATGAAGTTCCCTGTTGAAAAAAACAGCATATGCTGGTTAGGTATGTTTTGACCCTGGGATGCTGGTTTAAGCTGGTCCTTTGCTGGTTTATGCTGGTCCTTTGCTGGTTTAAGCTGGTCTTTGCTGGTTTATGCTTTATGCTTTATGCCTTTGCCAGCACATGACCAGCATAAACCAGCAAAGGACCAGTTTAAACCAGCAAAGGACCAGCATAAACCAGCAAAGGACCAGTTTAAACCAGCATCCCAGCGTCAAAACATACCTAACCAGCATATGCTGTTTTTTTCAACAGGGTGTGTAAACTCTTATATTTGGTGTGTTTATGCAAATTACTAGCTCCCGGCAGTTTTATCAACATTGGAACAGATTTATGTGTTTACAAGTTTACCTGTTTTAACCTGGAATTGTTTCTGTTAACATAAATACGCCAACTGAAGAAGTTATATTTGAAAAAGCTTTATTGTTGTTGTTATCTTTGTGTGCGACTATATGTGCGTATAGCGTAATGTATTTTTGTTTTTAACAGATATAAGGCCACATGTACGAGCACAGACAATTGAACTTGGGTAACATACACTTTGACTGAAGGCAAGTAAGTATCCCCCCCAGGTATGGAGATAGTTTACTTTTAACCTACTGAGAATGGAGTTATTTTTTGTCAGAATCGCTGGACAAACAGAAGCATTCTGTGGTCGTGCAATTGAAATATATTACCAGAAGGTGTCAGTATAAGACCGAAAACATGCTTTACTGTGAGCAGCCCAAATAAAGCTGCTGTAAGGGATCGTTTTAAATTCCAAGCATAAAATATCCATACTGCCTGACGGATATCTCTGAAATAGGTGTCCTGGTATATCACACATATTCTATGTCACAGCCAATAACTCTAAAAAGCAGAAAAGACAATCTGACAGCAGTTTTTACATGTTAGCCGATCATAATGCAGTTTCCTGCAAATATTGTCCAATGGAGTGTGTATGGGGGCGTGACTATCCTTAAGGTGGGAAAGTGTTCAGGAAACCTGTTTGGAAGCAATCATTAGCTTTTCATCTTAAAGGGGTCATATGATGCGATTTCAATTTTTCCTTTCTCTTTGGAGTGTTAAAAGCTCTTGGTGCATAAAGAAGATCTGTAAAGTTGCAAAGACTAAAGTCTCAAATCCAAAGAGATATTCTTTATAAAAGTTAAGAGTCAACCACATGTTCTTTTTAGCACCATCATATGAACCCTTTAATTTTTTTTGCTAGTAGTGGTGGAAAATCACTTAAGGTTCATTTAACTCAATGTGTTTTGTTATTTTAGAGAGAAAAGAGAGAACATATATGGTTTAATGTACTCACACACACACACACACACACACACACACACAGACGAACACAGAGTGTATAGGAAAACATAATGGGAATATATGGTGCTATACTTTCATCAGCCCATAGGGGCCAGTGTTGAGCTGCAGCTCGCTGATGAACTATGCAGTAGTTTATGCATGTACAGCATCACCTGTGGGGCTTGGAAATCTGTGTTAGGGAATGACGAGAACTCTCCTCGCTCTAATGGACCGGCACGGCAGCAGCTATGGTTGCAGAATCCCTGACAGTCACCACAACTGTCTCTCCACTTCTAACTGAATACAGAGTTTCTGTGCTATGTGTGTTTAGTTTGGCAGCCCAGGCCAGCCACCCTCAAAGCTGTGTCATTTCTCACTCTTCATTCTGCACTGACACGCATGTAATGTATTCTGAAATCCATGAAGAAGGTGGAGGGTGGGAGAGGAGGGGGATATACATGCTCTCAGTGAGAGAAACACGTGTCTGTGCTTCTCCACACATGCATGTTTAATGTAATGCCCTACATACCCAAGCTCCTGCACATTTAAACACGTTTAACATTTACCCACATTATATGGACGGGTAATACAGTGATTCCAGAGACACATTGCATTCTTGGCTCCCTGCTCAGTACCTTTAAAATAAAACCGATACATACTCTTGTACCCCTTACTAAGGTTTACCATGGTAACCACAGTTCTCTTTCAGTCGGTCACTTCGACGTTGTGTCGAAGTCTGACACTAGGGATCGCACTTGGGAGCCCAGACAACTCTGACATCATTGAGAAAAGGCAAATGACAATTGGTGAGTAAAATTTGCATAGCTGGCCACGCCCAGGATATCCGGGTATAAATAGGCCAGCATGGCATTAGCTCATTCGTTCTGTTCTTCGGGGCTGATGCAGCGTCTCTTTGTGAGAATTGCAGCACTCATTCACCTCTCGATCTTCTTGTCGTTGGATCTACGGCACAGACAGCGGTCTCTCCCTCTCTACGCACAGCTAAGTGTTGTGAGAGTACCCCTGGGTGCTTCAGCGGTGCTCTTTGAGAGCTATTTTTCTTCCGACGGGGGGATGGGAGGTGGATGCCGTATCACTCCGGCTGTCTGCCACTTGGCAGACAGACACCAAATGGTCAATAAAATGACACCAAATGACACCAAAATGACAATAAAAGAGTCATTTCCTCCTTTCCTGGGTCACACTGCTGATGCTGAAATTTCACAACAGAGCCTGTTCGGACGTAATCCCCTTGCCTCCTCACGCTCTGTTGCAGCAAGTCAACCATTGAACCATTCCAACGCATGCCAGTGAACCCAGGTTCCAACATCCGTGGGTGGTCTCTTTGTCAGACCTGGCGGACAAAACGCACAGCGCCCTGAAGGATCCCGTATCCTCTGCTGCTGTTCCTTTTGTCCCACAAAGCAGCAGGAACCCTGCCCTAGGTACGTCAAACGTAATTCCACTGAGACCGTTGGTGAAGTTTCTGGATGCTTGGTTACAGCCACCTAGACCTTCAAGATGGCTCCTCAGGACCGTTCGGCTCAGCTATGCGATTCAGTTCGCCAGGCGCCTGCCAAAGTTCAGTGGCATTCTCTTCACCTCTGTGAGAGGCGAGGATGCTGCTGTTCTTCGAGCGGCGATCGTTACCCTTCTGGTGCGATAGAGCCTGTTCCCCCAGCCGAGATGAAGAGGGGGTTTTACAGCCCCCTACTTCATTGTACCCAAGAACGGTGGGGGGGGCAATCTTGGACCTGAGGGTTCTGAACCGGGCCCTTCACAAGCTTCCATTCAGAATGCTTACCCTCAAACACATGTTAACACGTGTCAGGTATCAGGATTGGTTTGCGGCAATAGACTTGAAGGATGCGTACTCTCATGTCTCGATCCTTCCAAGACACAGGCCATTTCTACGGTTTGCCTTTGAAGGTCAGGCATATCAGTACAAGGTTCTTACCTTCAGTCTTTACCAAAGTCGCGGAGGCGGCCCTTGCCCCTCTCAGGGAGGTGGTCATTCGCATTCTCAACTATCTCGACGACTGGCTTAT